CCTACAAATTCTGTTGTCTGGCAGTAAATTCCTTTGTAACGCTTCTAAACTGCAGACTAAAGAATTTCCCTTTTAAAAAATCAGCTCCTCGTTATCGCTAGTCATTTTTCTTGTCCTAAAAGTTTTGCAATCTCTAATCTCTTTCCTGAGCAGAGGTGATAAAAACATAATTTAAATACAATATGATATTTTTTGCTCCTGAAGAAAAATGTAGGGATTATTGTAATCAAGTTTTCACAACCTGTAACGTATTGTTCCAGATTAACTCACACTTTTCAAAAGACAGTGCAGTACACTGAAAGCATCCAGTGTAAAGTACATTTACCTTTCAACCTCTTTCAACAGATTCTCTCCATGGGAATGATGACCGAATACTACCACTACTTTTTTACAACGCTGGTAAGGAACACGAAAGATTTTGGGGGTGAATTTTCTCCGTTACAGAAAAGGGAACTAAAAATTTACACTTTTTCTCAGAGATCTTTGCCATGGTTCAAGGAAACCCCTGGAGGATGAGTAGTAACACTCCTTAGTAATAACAGGAGTCACAATTTTGTAAGGAAGCTGTTTTGCAGTGTCTGTGGTGCTGGCTAACACTTTAATACAATGAAAATTAATTGCAGCATTGGGTTTAAGGAGGAGCCATTGGTAGAGGTGGATCAGAGTGAAACAAAATAATGAATGAATGGTTTTGCAGTGGAGCCAAGGGCAAGCACCGTGGGCAGTGTGGTTCATCACCAAAATGTGTAATTTACTAATAAAAACACAAAATCACCTATGTATAAAATCACTTGGGAAATGTTATAATAAAAGAAAAACCCTAAATTTTCTTTTATGGTACAAATCTATAAATACTTATTTCCTATATTTTAACTTACATGCTATATAAAAATATAACTCAATCCATGCTTAAGGTCCATTTGCATTGTAGACTAGAAAGACAGCAAAGAACCAATATTGCTAGAACAATCTTAGAGGGCTGTATTATATCTGTTAATGTGCATCAGCTTATTCTTTATTTCTTTTCCATATAAGATTTTATGTGGAAGTGAAAATTTGTTTTGAATCCAATAGTCAATTCATTAGTTGGAAAAGACTCTCTAGCTGTTTGGAACTTGAGGGAGTAGCTTGAAATAGTTCTCTTTAAGCCCATTTTAACATGAAGGAAAATGTGAAAATTTAGGATTTACTGTGGAACTTACAGTTTTAAACAAGAACAGTGAATCTAACACAAAATGGTAACCACCATCAACGATATGCATGAGATAGTATAGAGCAGTAACCAGTGCTGGTGGTATGTCAGCATTGTGGTATTGTAAACATTGACATTTTGATGGTTACTGTGGTATTAAACCATAACCAATGCATTTGTCATTTTACTGGCCTACTGGGATCAGCAAAAATTTGTTTTAAAAAACAGCCTTCAGGCTTTGAAAAGCAGTTATCATATTTCCACTGCCTGATAAATACAGCTGTGGAGTGTGCCACACAATTATTTCACTTAGAATATCCATTATTTTCCTGCCCTGTAAACACCAAGAACTGAAGCGTGTGGACTTACTGTGCATTGGTCTGACACGTCCATTAGACATACTGGCAGCAAGTCACCTGAAGGAGGCAAGGCAGGAGAAAAATGTGATTCATAAGTAGTAAAAGTGTATCGCTCTTGACATCTCTTGGAATTTTCCTTCCCTGAGAAGTTGAGAAATAAGCTTGACATTGGCCAGCTAATTCCTCATGTTGGTTTGTCACAGCTGTAACACTGTTAGAGGACTGCTGTAAATAAAAATTAGATACTGCTGTGCAGATCGGTTGCAAAATAGTGTTGTTGTGGGGAACTGATTTTTACGTTCCAACAAAGCAGATATGTGGTTTGTCATAAATTTCACACAGCTTTGGTTTATTCAGATTTATAACTGAAATGGTCATGACTAGGCTTTGAAGTCAAGCAGAGTGTTCACTGGGAAAAAAACCAGCACTCGATCTTTGGATTGAAAATCAAATACAATTTTGGCCTAATTGTACCTTCCAAATATTTTGCGTTAAAAATACTACATCTGGTTTTGTTTGTTTTCTTAATGGTGATTTAGGATCTGTTTGCATTAGACCTGGAACCCTATAGATACAGCGGAGTAAATATGACAGGGTTTCGCCTGCTCAACATTGAGAACCCGCAAGTTTCATCGGTCATTGAGAAATGGTCAATGGAGCGTCTGCAGGCACCACCGAAACCAGAGACTGGCCTCCTCAATGGCATGATGACAGTAAGTGAGCAACCACAGTGATGCAGGGCATCTACACCATGCTTTGCAATGCGGTTCTAGCAGATGTGAACCGATCCCATTGCTGCTTTATTTCACAATGCAAACGCCGAAGCAGCATCCCCCAAACAGATTTCCTTTTACCTGCTTCTACCCAAAAGGGCATTTGCCCCATGAACCAATGTTGTACTCATCTGTGTGACAAACCACTGCTGGGCAGCTCTAGAGATGAGTGACAATTCTCCACCATGGTGCCATCCAGCTAACACCATTCATCTTATTGTTGTCAAATGTATATACCGCTGCCTCGTTTCTCTAATAATGTTCTGGATGGAGTGAAGAACATAACAGGAAATAAAAACTTTCAGAGCAGGTATACGATTTATAACCTGCAGGGAAAGATATTGTACATGGGGACAGGTAATAACTTTTTTAAATTGGAAAAGTGCCCTTTCTCTTCATTTCCATCATCTACAGCAACTCTGGCTTTTAAGATATAATCTAAAGGTAAATGAAAGGTATCATCAAGCCAAGAAATTAGGATTTCCTCCCTATCACTCCCCCAAGAAGTAAAGGAAAAAGTGGGAACAATTACATGAATAGCGTGACTCCATTCAGTTTTGCGGGGTGAAGGGTTGCCATCTTTTTGCAATATAAGATAATGTATCTTATGTACTGAGTAGAGTTCGAAGTGATACGAAATAGACTTTATTGCAGATGATTGCAGGGAAAATGTTGAAACATCCTAACATCCTGAAGAGAAATGTATTATGTGTGCTATCTCTAGCATTTCAAAAAATGTTGCTTGTTTGGGCAGTGCCATTGTGCTCACTCATACGCAAAGCAGGGGAGAAAGCTGTCCCTGGGAACTTCTGATGAGAATATACAAGACCTGCAAGTGTACCTATTCACACATAGCTATTCACCTGCATTCACCCAGCTGTAAAACTAGGAAAAACCAAGTTCTTACTAGACTCGTGCTCTCCTTTGTGTCTCTGGCTCTTATTATCTGCTTTGCATCTCTATAATCTCTTAGTGTTCTTGGTGCTATGAAACAGCATGAGCACCAAGGAAAGCATCTTCCTAGTTGGCTGTGTTCATTTAAATATTCATAGCAAGTTCTGCTTATTCAGTTTGATGGAGAGCTGCAATACTGCTATATTTCATTAGACAGTAATGCTATGACAAGCTGCACAGTATAAGGAGATCAGGATTACATGTCCTGTTGTTAACTCAGGATCTCTCCCTTCTGGTTCATGCTATATTGTTTGCCCTGATGTCTGCCTGTGGAAGTCAGCTGGACATGACCAAGACAGTTTTGAGTTTGTGTCCCACTTTATCCCCAAACTGCACACAGAGGCATAGTTGTTCTAATGAGATCTTTGGGTTTCTTTGCAAAAATTTAAATAGAATACAAAAATCAGAAAGAAAAGTTCCAGGAGTAACTCTTAGTCCCTTTCTTCTTATGCACAAGTACAGACATTAATATAAGGCAGTTTGCTTCAGAAAATGGGGTGACCTTTTGTTCTTCCAGGCAACCTTGTGCCCTAAGCAGAACAACAGTGAGGGGAGAAATAAAAGGCTAAGGGAGGTAATATAACCTCCTAGTTGCTGCACAGCAGGATGGATGAGTAACAAGTTAGACAAGCGCAAGATTCAAACAGCCGAGTCTGGCAATGCTGCCAACATACAAACACTGTGGGATGCACCATGTTATCAAGTAAAAGCATCAGTGATCTCAGATAGGAGTGCAAAGTGAGGTGCACTGAGGCGTTTTCATCAAGTAGCTCCAGAGCGTCTAGGCCTGGGACGCAGGCAGATTGGGACTCCAGTGATCAAGTAAAATTCAATCCTGAATGGACATGTCCCCAGTCTGATGTAAAAGCTGATCTGAAGTCCATTGACATTGATGGGAATCTTTCCATTGATTTCGAGGGATTTTGGATCAGGCCTTTAGTCTCCAGGTCAGCTTGGAACAACTACCTCTTTTAAGACACTTGACACTGAGAACAGCTGTTATTGTCTCCTGATTGCCTCACCATTTATAATGTTTTCAATTTGCTCTGATTGTGGGAGCATCATTTTGGGCAGATCCTGACTAGCGTGTCAAGAGCGATTCCTCATCTGCAGTATATTAAGATTAGTTGATAAATTCAGATCACATTTGATTGCCAGCAAAAACCTCCAATGCTGATAAGACTGATGCTGTTGTAATTTACTTAGGTAAATGAAACAGACAAAGAACCAAATCTATTAATTTCCCAACGGAACTGCATGGGAAAGGAATAAAAAATGGATTAGCTTTGCAGTTCATATAAATGAGTCCGTTTTCTCATCTGCAGAGTTAGTACTTTTTTTTTAAGGCCCCTGCTTAATTATTTAGTAGCTTTACAAGAAAGGTAATCACTTTATTTTTACATCATCCCTGTGCATTAAGCAAAACATGGCCATTCCCACCTCACATATGAGAGCGCTGAAGCATAATGCAGGTGAGGGTGAGATTTTTCTAAAACCTCCCAGTGATAAAGGATGACAGGGTGTGCAATCTCAATTCAAGGCTTATTGGGCATGCTTTTACATCAATAAAACCATTCTTAAAAGAAACACAGACGCACAAACAGCATCCAGCAATTTTAGTAATATTTAATCATCTAAGGGCTGAATTCATCTGCCCAGTCTTAGACAACTAGAAGTTAGATATGTAAGTCCAACTTAATCACCAAAAAAGACACCTCAAAAGGACAGTTCACCTCTCTCTAAGACGGCATGGGAGGTATGGCAGGGGAACAGCCCCAGCCAAATGTCAGTGGGTCCATTTCACACATTTGCACCAAAAGCCAAGATCCTTGAGGGCAGTAGACACTTACAGACAGTAGATGCCTGTCTGGTGCGATACCTACCAGGTGCTCAGTGGGATTGACTTCCCTGGAAAGCAGACCCTGCCTACCCCATGGGGAAGAAAGCAATCCCACAAGTGCCATGAGAAGAACAGTGATGGGGAGCCAGTATGGGCCCCAGGTGGGCAGCCCTCCCACACACCCCCATGCCATGCCACCATGACATGCCAACCTGAAGGCTGGGCAGAGACTGGCTTGAGCACCTGCATGGTGCTTTTGAATGACACAGCTGAGGGTGCTGAGAGTCTTTGGCAAATCCCATGAGGAAACTATAGGAGACTGAGTACTGCAAAGTGCTGGGCCTTAAGACGTGCCTGGAGGATGGGATCTGGGCTGCTGTATCACCTGAGGCTTCTTAAAACTCCTCTCTGTGCCACAGAGCTACCCACACACTCCTTCCTGCACTGGACCCATGGACCTCTCTCTTCCTTTCGCTACCCAGTGTAGTTTTCTTCCTAATGCTCACCTGAAAATACTCTGAAATTAATATAAACTGCAAAAAAAATGGATTTTGTTACACCTCAGATTTCCATGGAGAGCCTAGTAGTGGCCTTTTCCATAAAAACAGCCCAGGGAAACAGTTCTCAATAGAGAAAAGCAGGGACCAGGCACAAAGATGCACATTAAAGAAAGCCTTTCTGTTTTTTCATGCAGACTGAAGCAGCTCTGATGTACGATGCTGTTTACATGGTAGCAGTGGCCTCCCAGCGTGCCTCCCAAATGACTGTCAGCTCCCTGCAGTGCCACAGACACAAGCCGTGGCGTTTTGGACCCAGATTTATGAATCTGATAAAAGAGGCAAGTGTAGACCATCTGCTTATGGTCAGCATAATCCTTCCTTTCTTCTTTACTGCACTGGCTTGTGTTGTTGCTCCCTGCTCTCTGTCATATGCTATGCTCTGGTTTCTGGCACTCCGATATCCAATTCTTCCTCACCTTCCTAGCAGAGAAACATTCATTTACAGACACAAGGCTGTGGCTTGCATTCTGGTGGAGACTTTACCTGGTCTTTCAAATAAAAAAAACTGCTAAACCCTAGGTGTGATAAAATCTCAGACTAACACACCATAAGACTTAGCAGATTTTTTGCTTGGTTAATGTTTATTATGGATATTTATAATGTCTAAAAATATGAGATAACTAACAACAGCCATTCTAGAAATTGAAAGAAAAGTGACTCTGTATCTCTGTCTTTGTTTCACCACTTAATTCCAATTGTTTTGCAGATTGATCAGTAATTGATACTTCATAAGAATCCATCACTGAGCTAGCTTGATTCACAGATGTTCTAAAAAATACACATTTTAGCTGAAATGCCTTCACCATTCCAAAAATGCAGTTTTTATTATGAATTTCAAATGGCAACTTTTCCTTTAGGGGAAGAGTGTGGAAATGAAAATTGGAAAATATGTGGAGTGTCCTATATATACTTAATTTTTTCCCACAGTTCTTGCCCATGGCAGTGTGATTCCTATCAAAGCCACATTCATTAGCACTTGTGTAGGTGGAACAGGACTTGTAGGCTGAGGTACAAGGTAAGTGGTGGCAACATGTCAGGACATACACCTGAATCCAGAAATACAGTAGGAGCATACTGAAAGACAAGACATGTGGTGGTTACAGAACATGTAGAAGAGCTGTCATCACCTTCTCCAAACCTTTCCAAGTAAATTTTTTTTAAAATTGCCATAGGCAATATGCGACATGGTGATTCACCTACACAGAAAACATTGAAAGTTACTGAAAGAGTACTCTCCACACAGGGTGTTTCATGAATTTTGAGGTTTCCTTGTAAGCTTCTCTCTTCGAAAGTATAAAGAAAAGACAAGAGTTACCCCAGTACTCAGATGCCTGGCTTAAGAATTAAGGAAACTTTGACATACTTTCGCCACTGCAACACAATCATGGGAACACCCAGAGGAGTCAGGAAAGCAGCACTGGTAAAGATTATTTCTCTCTCACTGACATCAGCCATGCTGCATCCAGCTCCCCCACTGGGGGGCAGGAGGGAAGACTGTAGCAGGAACAGTAAAAGACAGGAGAAAATTGTCTCAGAAGTGTCTGTAATAAAGATGAACTTCTCCTTCCCTCCCTTCTGATTTGATCTAAGTGGGAACCTTTGCTCTTCTACTTCTCAACCTCAAACTAAACAAGGTAACATTGCTCCTTATACAATTTCTGGTGCATTTTAAGAATAATTGTAATGAAATTGAAAGCTAGCAAAAGACTTTGTAATGGTGAATGCACCTGCATAATTCTACAGTGGTGACCTACTTATATTGGGTGATGCTAAGTATATAATATAGCATAAGGGTCCTGAATCCTAAGCCAGAAATACTCTGACCACGAGTACCAGACGTATCTTGGCAGATCTGATTCAAAGCTTAAACAGGTATACAGTTCACATTTATCATGTGCAGCTAGCTTCCCTTGCACGGAGTGAGAGATGTGAACTAATTACTGATCGTTTTGCAGATAGTGTCTTTCATGGTCAGTAAAACACTGATTTAAATATCTTATCTTCCTGTTTCTGTTGTAGCCAAAAAAGAGGTTGTTAAAAGTAGACAATAAGGTTTAATAAGACAATATTACATTTCCTGTAAAGTCTATAACAGCTTTTGGAAACTAAACAGCAAAAGCATTTGGACCTCCCTAGTTCATGTTAGGATCTGGTTTGCTCAGCAAGGATAGATGAACTTTATAAATTAGGAATCAACTTCATAGGTATGGAAAAAAAAGTCAAACAGGTGGAATGATAGTTTGGGCCCACATAAATACAATTTAATTTTGCTATTTTGTGATATGGTACTGACAGTCTGCGAAGGCATTTTACAGACTGGTCTGAAGACAAATATTGTGTACTGCAGTCTAAATAAACAACTTTCAGACAAAGAGGTTGCCTGCAGTGAGTCCTGCAGGTGCTAGAGCTTAGTAAGTACTCCAATGCCTTTATGGTAGGTTTCTGTATTTCATTTTAGTGGTGATAAGAACTGCAGCCATATCATTTGCTTTGCGGCCCAATGCAATAAAATGCTAGGCTGATGGTAATAGGACCTCAAAACCCACCTGGACATGAGCAGAGGTTAAGATGGAAAGCCTCTGACTTGTATAGCAGCTCATAGGCTGCTCCTCTCTTCACTCAGGAGATGGTAAATTAATTTTTTTCAGCTTGTCACTGTCCTGTAGGGAAGTCAAGGTTCAGGTCATATCTGGTCCTCAGGTACACGAGTTAGCTTCTTCCTGAAAGCAACAGGAAAGTGGACATCTTAGGGCAAAATATTACCTTTTGACTCCTTGGAGAAGAAGAGGCTGAGGGGAGATCTTATCGCTCTCTACAACTGCCTGAAAGCAGGTTGTAGTGAGGTGGGTGTTGGTCTCTTCTCCCATGTGGTTAGCGATAGGACGAGAGGAAATGGGCTCAAGCTGCGCCAGGGGAGGTTTAGATTGGATATTAGGAGGTTGGATATTAGGAAAATTTTCTTTCCTGAAAGAGTGGTCAAGCGTTGGAACAGCCTGCCCAGAGAGGCAGTGGAGTCACCATCCTTGGAAGTGTTCAAAAAATGGGTAGACGTGGCACTTTGGGTTTAGTGGGCAGGTGGTGTTGGTCTGATGGTTGGACTAATGATCTTAGAGATCATTTCCAACCTTAACCATTCCTAGTTTTTACTTTCATTAAAAAATAATCCAGCCAGGAACCAAGCCAGGAAACATGAAATTATTACTCTACCCTTAACTGATTTAGTGGTGGACTTGGTAATGTTAGGTTAATGGTTGGACTGGATGATCTTAAAGGTCTTTTCCAACCTCAAGGATTCTATGATCCTATGATTCTGTGACTCATGTTGATCTGGATGCATGCACATTGGAGTCAGTTTCTGAATTTTCAGAGTACATGAAAACAAAAGATGGGTAGTTTAATGTGAGAATACTCCTCTCTTGACCTTAGGACTTCAGGTAAGTGTACCAGGCAACATCAGTAGCAGATCCACTGCCTGTTTTTCTTAATGACCAAGACTTGAAGTGTTCCTAGGGAGACTATAGGAGAAAAGCACTAACAAAAATTTGTGAGGTTACAGAATAATCAATTACAGCAACAAAAAGAGTAGTCTTCTATGCTCTAAAGATCTCATGAGCTAATGTTTATTGTAGGAAACATTTGGAAATTCGCAGAGAAAAGTAAGCCTTACCAAAGCCCCCCAGCCCTGAGGACGGCTTTAGGGTCAGAGAGGTCATCAGCTAGTTCCTGTGAAGGACGGTATTACACGAAATACAGCATGTGGGATCAAGAATCTTCTACAATAGTTCATTAAGGCCTTTTTAATGAAAAGTAAATCCTTGTCAGAAGGTTTTGTCTCTCAATGACCTAATGTGATTCATATCTAAATAATATTTTAATCTTTTAGCCCTTATGGAAGCATTTGCAGGGAGTACATCTTACCTGCACCCAGAAAGAAAAAAGAGGTCATTATCTCTCTTCACAGAAGGAGTAGGGAGAGAAAGGATGATTCAACCTTTCTTAAAAGGAAAATGTGTGTAAACATGAAACAGGTGTTTATAATTGAATGATCAAATTCCCTGGTCATGTCCCCTTTAAAACATGAGATAAGCCACAAAATAATGATTGTCTGTTATTCAGTTATCATCTAAACCAATGTGAGCTCCCCTCACTCAAATCCAGTAACAATTAAAAGAACGACTGCAGAGAAGTATTTCAGAAGATAGAGATGCAGACTTTATCTTGAGTGACTTTCTCAGATCCCCTCAAACAGAATCACACACACAAATCTCAAAGATTAAAAGAAATCTGAAGCATTTATATCTACATTTCAGTTTATGTTGTGTTTTTGACAAGACACGTTTCAAGCATGTCTAGTTAGTAGAAACCAGGAGTGAGAGCAATCCATCTAGATTCTGCATCAAGTAATTGAATACAGCCTTCCTTTTGTGGTGTGACATTAAAAGCTCTCAAGAATCATCTGAGCTGAAACAAGTCTTTGTGTAGGCTAATGTAATGACGACAGAAAGCAACAAGATAAGTGGACGTGGTCATTCAGGCATTACCATGTCTGTAAAACTTTCAAGCCTCTGTCTCAACTTATTTGTAAGAATTCTTCTGAGTGAAGATGTCCCAGTTAGACTGGAAAGCCCACAAAAAAAAAACCACAAACCCCACCTTATCCTATATACAGAAGAATGTAATTCCTGGAATCTTTTATTCCAAACTCAAGGCATTTAAGCAAACGATAGCCTTGCTCTGTAGAGAAAGAGGCCTCTCCATCAGCATAATTAGGAAGACTGGGAAAGAAGGAGGCTTTATAATTTCCAGTCACCACAAAAAGAGCTGGGAAGACCTACACCACAGAAAAAAGGTCCCGACAATCCTCTGGGCTGAACCACTTCTTCATGTAGACTAATGACCACAGAAAGCAACAAGATGGGTGGACTTGGTCATACAGGGAATTTCATTACTCTATATATTTCAAGCCTCTGGCTCAACTTATTTGTAACAATTCTTCTGAATGAAGATGATTCAGTATGTTAGTCACTTGCTAGCCCATACTCACCTCCAAAATCAGCTGCATGTCTACCTCACCTGCACTGCGAGTGTACAAATGATTTCAAAACTCCTGTCTGTCCTGAGGTATCTGCTATATACAAGCTTATTTTAGACCCGATTGATCTACAATAACGAAGTAGCAGATTTGTCTGTTTTCTCACATTTCTAGTGCTGTTTTGCAGCTCTCAGATCTTGGGGCTTTTTCAGCACATAAATATTTAGAAGTTTATGTCCTTTAAAG